TTTTCACTGAAGCCGCCTACGGGCCCTTTGTGGGCGTGTGCACGGCGACGCCCGACGCCCTTTGCGTGCGTGAAGGTGCGCGTGCGTGACCTCGGCATGGCTGGCCACTTTATTCGCGCTCCGCAAATCAGCGTCGCGGTTTTTACAGGCAAGGCGCTGCAACTGGCGTGGGTTTGATCTTGGCAATAAGCGCATTGTTTGGAAGGGTTACAGAACTGACATAAACATGCGTGTTTTAACTGCACTTCTTAAGCACGCACGCATACACGTATATGTGTGTGTGGTGTATACATGTACATATACATATTTAAATGTGCACACACACACACACAGACAGACATACGCGCGCGCGCACACGCAAACAAACACACGCACACACGCACGCACGCACCCACACCCACACAAACGCACACACACACACACACACACACACACACGCACACACACACACACAAACGCACACATACACACACACACACACACACACGCACAAACGCACACACACGCACATTCAAATATATATGTATATATATGTACTTATACATACATATATATACATGTGTGTGTATGTGATATACTTGTGTATACGCATACATGTTTATATGTATCCTATTTCTCCATTTATCTGTCCATCTATTATCCTTCTAGCGATAACTATTTATCTGTGTATACATACTATATTCATGACTCGTTTTCTGATCTAGTTCCCTGCATCGAATGGGTACCTGTCTCATACGACCTTTCCTTTGTCTACAGCTCAGGGAAAATTGACCGATTCAGGAAAGACGGGGAATGCAAATATCGTGACTGGCGATATGCACTAAAATCTAAATCGATTTATTGAGCTTTACATTAACTGAGTTCGTAATGGTTGCGATTAAGGAACAAAGCGTCCACATTTCGACATAGCTTTCGTTCCCCTTGGTCTGCGGGGATTTTAGCCTACATGATAGCGTTTTTATCTGTCAGTCTATTGCATTCATGTCAACCAGCAGTTTAAACGCTGCTGTTAACGGGGTCGCAAGGAAAACAAACCAGTACAAGAGCAGAAAGAATAACGCAGTGAATCAGGGTGACAGGGGACGCGAACGCTGCCAGAGGGCGGGGGCGACGCCAGACCACGAGGGGGAGGAGAAGAGGGCGAAGGACGCTCTGGCGGGGCGTGGGGCAGAAGGGCGTGGGGAGGCGGGCTGGGGTGTGGGGCTTGCTACGCGACGTGTGGGGGAAGCTGGAAGCGGGCGTGGGTTCAGGTGCGTTGTTGCAACCGTTGGAGGAATGCAAGCAAGGAGCAGCGGGTTGCGTGTGAATGAATGCGTTCGGATTTTCATTGTTCGGAATTAGATGGAGATAGATGTTCCTCGCAGTTTTCTTTCTTCGCGTGTTACTCTCCACCTCCTGAATGTATAAACGTAGCTTTAACTTGTTGTGATTTATGACAACCGAAATAATGTAAACAATGGAGTGGCATCACCATGGGTGCACCTGCCATTCAACGCATGATTTTTATTCAGGCATGTTTATGTTAAAGGCATGTGTATTCGCTTTTCAAATATATTCACAATATCTAGCAACCTAGAATAGCTATATGTCATACACTCTGGCATTACCTCAAATATAAGTAAAGCAAATGATTACAATTATCCATGTTTTCATAAATTCTCATTTTCTTTGAAGTTATACGTGTGATATAAAACATCAGTATTTATCGATTTTGAACTCAACACGGTTAAACACTTATTTGAACACCAAAGCGTGGATTCTGCGCAGGTGCCGCGTTCGACATGAGCGAATCCACGTCTCTCGAACAGTGGAAAAAATCCACTTTATGAACGCTTGAAGATCCCAATTAAGGCGTTACCATTCGAAGATAGTTAATATCAGAAAGTATATTATTTACAGAAGTCTTTCATTCCATACATTTGTTTTTTTTTCGTTTTCTTTCTTTATTTACATTGTATAAATATTCGGAGAAACGGTTTTTTCTCTGTCGATAACACTTTTAAAACACAGTACATTTGAACATACGAATATCATAATAACGGATTTTAGGGATTTGATAATCTTGCAACGTAACGTTTTTATTTTCGAAGCAAAATTGGCTCCCCAGCATTCTCCCACGCTTGATTATATATTTTTGCAGCGAATGGTCCTTCATCAACCTCTGGTACATTCGTTTTGAATTTTAGTCCCAACTGAGATTTCCTTTGACGCCCCCAACGCTGGACTTTGTTCCGGACTCGTAATTCACGGTTTTACTTATAGATCTGCAGGCAACTCCAAGCCGTCCAGAGCGATAGCTATTGAGAGTCTTTGTTGCTGGTGTTAAAATGTTTAACTCGCCGAGGCAAGGGATTCATCGTCGGTCTGCGAACGGAGAAAGCGCTCGGAATCCCACGGCTCTGCTCGAGGGAAGGCATCCAGAGGAAATTCATTTGGACACGCAGGCACGCTTGCACATTCACTCAGGCCTTTATACATCCAGACGTATACGTAGATGCGC